CTTTGAAAAAGGAGGAGTCAGTCAGATGTTCTATTCTAACTGTGTGCTTTCTACACTAGATGGCAGCAGTTCATTAATAACCTGAAACAAGGAGCTCTCAAATAAGTCAAGGTGATCAGTTTCTAAATAATCAGACACTTCAGTTGATCTCAACAAAGAGCAACCAGGTCTTACAAATTAAACATGTAAACTATGGGTTAAGATTGATTTTATATTGAAAATACATTTTGCCTCTTATTTTATGCTTGTTTCATGTACTACTCGTGCAGCTTTCATAAATAGTGAGACACAAACATTCACTGCAATTTATTGTCATTTTTGTTGTCGTTGTATCTATTTTTTGTTGTTTATCACATCTGCAGCTACCAGTTCCCCTCCACGCCTACTGAGGTCTCTCTCTACTCAGTGCTGTCAAAGAATAAAGGAACTGGTCTGGGCCAGAAACATTATAAATTAAGAGACTATTCACTGGTTAAAATATGAATAGGAAAGCTTGTAATGCTCAACATGGTGTCTGTTTGTGGAGAAAAAAGAGCCAATCAGCTTCATGGTTATGCCCCAAGCGAAGAAGGGTTGACGATACTGTGGCGCTAGCAGGGAAAGCCCCGGCTTGTTGTGGAGAGCTGTGCTAGTGCAGTAGCCACAACAATCTGAAAAATCACATTTTTTTCTGCATTATTGAGCCAAAAGCTTAAAATTATTTATGAGGTTTTTGTCAGATTTTACTGTTTATTTCAAATGTGTTTTTGAATTGGTAATTTGGCCTTTAGTTTGAAGTATGTTAGTCTCTCCTCATTCAAAGAGATGGGAAGAATGGGAATAACTGCCTGACAGTGTTGCAAAGATGGCCTCTGAGCCATAAGGACTTTATCCAGGCCCAGCTTCCTAAAGCATCTGGGTTTTAATATTCTTTTAACTGGAAAAGAGAGTGTTCAATATGATGCTCACTCATTTAAGCGTCACCATTTAAGCACCCTTTAACAGTCAGCTTTGTGCTAAGATGCTTTTGGGAAACCAAGATTTGACTAATTCAGATGGTTTTGCTTTGTTCAATATTGTCCCTACTTGAGAATCAATAACAAGCCTCCCTTGACATTCCAGCTGCAGCTGCTTTCATGCCTTTCCCCTCTCTTCCCACCATGACTAGAGTTCTCCATGAAAGGTATCACAGCTCATGTGATAGCTGTTGGAGCTTTCTTATGTAGTGCACTCTTTAGATTTATCATCAACATTGAGATTTAGACAAAATCTATTTTGTTATATGCCTACTGACTGTTAAAGTTAAGGAATGAAAGTGGGGAGGGCATGGCTAACAGTGAAGGAGGGACACTGGCATGTCAGAGACCGCCTGTGTCTCTACTGGAGGTTGCGTTGGAAGTGAGTTCTTTAGTCCACTGTGATAAATGTGGTCACCACTTTTGATGGTTTTGTGGTGGGTGAGTGATCTGGAGGCTCCCCACTTATTACACTTTATCAGATCTCCATTCACAGTGCTCTGAAGTTTATTGTAGCCATGCACACAAAAATATCTACACCCGCATGGAAAAGTTTAAAAACCAAAGCTATATATAAACTCCACTGACTCCTCAGTCAGCATCCAGCAGTCATTTCTCAACATAGAAATAGTGCAATTCTGCTCAAATAGATCTGAGGCTGTGAGCCCCACAGACCTCCCCAAATCACAAAAGAGGTAACTTCTCCATTGTCCTCCATTCCCTCTTAAACTGGTAGCCCCTCCCACATTGAATCTGGGTCATACCATTGTTTAAATCTAGGGGTGACAAGAAAACAAACAACCAACACAAAAAGCAGCAGGTGTTGGTGATAATGAGGGGGCGGAGCCAGAATGCTGCATGGAGGCTGAGATTTACAGCTACAGTGTCATTAGATCTACTCATCTGATTTGTCTTCATTTACAAAAGAAAACAAAACAGAAAACAAATCGGCTCTTCAGTGAGAGTCAGCTCCCAAAGTTTACCTGAAAGAGCCGACTCAAAGAGCCGACTCATTCGCGAACGACACATCACTGCAGCAGATGTCGAATCAGGCTCGTTCGTGTGGTAAACAAGGAGCGAATGCAGCGGCGTTTGCTGTGAGAATCTAATCTGACATTAAACAACGCATTAAAGACTGCATTATCACGAGAAGCGGCCAGTAAGAAAACTGAAGACCTACAAAATAAAAGCTTAGCAGAGACAAAATACAGAAAAACACGGAGAACAGAGAGCAGCGTGAACATGAGGACTGTTAGAGATGCAGGACAGCAAATCACACAGCAGGGATGTAGGTTTAAACGGAGTGTGATGGTGAGGCAGAATCGGATACACAGACTGAGCTTGTAGAAACAGAAAGCGCAAAGCGGAGGAGAGGAAGAGAAAAGCAGAGCTGCAAAGAGGCGGAGTTCACTGCATCGCTCACACAGGCTGAATGAAAGTGAAAGTGAGGATCGGATGAAGTGTTCACTCTGGGCTGCATTAAACATCGTGTAGAACAAATGAATAAGAAAAAAAAACAAAAGCAGAGCCTCATACAGTTGCAAATGGTAAACTTTGAAATAGACACAGGCTGCAGTATGACTGGGATAAATGAAAAAAACTTTCAAGAAAACGTGGAAAAAAGCAAAAAAATCCAGAAGTCTACTGAAATTAAACCTGAGACTTGAATAGACCAGCCCAAAAAAGTAAAAGGACTGTCCAAGTGACCCTCAAATACCAAAGGGACAAAACAAAAAAAACAAACAAACAAACAAACAAAAAACAGCTACTCACTGTAGAGATAGGTCATGGACCTAAGCTATTAGGGAGAGGATGATTAGAGGAATATAAAGCATGCAAAATGACAACATCAGGTAAAGACAGAAGAAGAGAGGCTACAGTGAGCGCTGGCAAAACACGAAGATGTTTTTAAGGAACAATTAAGCATTTTAAAACTAAAATTCATGAAGCTCCACATGCAGATTTTTCCATCCATATTCAGTGTCATATGCAATTTGGCCAAAAGATGATGAGAAAATAAACAGTTTGGAAAAAGAGAGAGTAATTAGACCTGTAAAGTACTCAGAGTGGGCAGCTCCCATTGTCCCTATCCTCAAACCAGACGGCTCCATAAGGACTAAAAGTGATTGCAAACTTACTGTTAAAAGAGCAGCTTCTTTGGAACACGACCCAATACCACAACTGGAGGACCTGTGTGCTGCACCATCTGAAGGCAAGCAGTTCTCAAAGCTGGATATAAGCCATGCGGGTATTGGTGGATGAGGAGTCCCAAAAGTACCTGAAAGTGAACACTCAAAGAGGAATGTTCACCTACCAGAGACTTCTGTTTGGGGTAGCTTTAAAGAGTAAAGGAAGGACTGTTCCAAGGGATCCCCAAGGTAGCAGTGTTTTTATATGACATCCTGGTCTCAGGGGTTGACACTGAAGAGCATCAAAAACACCTTGATAAAGTTTTGATGAGATTAGCAGATGCAGGTCTGGGTTTACAAAGAAACAGTTGTTTTCCTACAAGATGAGGTGGAGTACTTAAGCCACAAGGTGAACGTGTAAGGGTTGCATCCCATGAAAACCTCCAAGACACTGTTATAGTCTGCAAGACTAGCATCTTTGCTAATTCACTACCATCCAATCATCTCTGTTATCGTTCTTTTGTTTTGCTTTTTTTTCATTCATCGCATCTGTCACTAAGCGAAAAAATTTGCAAAGGCTAAAATCTCATTAATCCAAGATAAGGCAGTTAATACATTATATAACGCTTGAATGTGTCAAGGATTAGCACAGACACTAATCTGTAACTGGCAGAAACGCTGTGCTGCAGAGCGCACGCATCAAGTAGGCGTCTTCTGTGTGTGACTGAAATTGTGCCTGAACAAAAATACTTTGTAGCACAGTTGATGTGTTATAACATTATGTAATTATGTAAAATTGTCTGTATACTATCAGTAGCATACTGTAATAAACAGCATTTAGTGTAATATCTAACTATATACATTGTGTTAAAGTGTTATTATTGGATGAAGATTTTCTTCTCTTATCAACAGTTTATTACATTATGAGTTTATAATAGTGCATGTTAGTAAGTTAGTTTGTGTTAGTACATTGTGTGTGGGTCAGTCTGTTTTTGGGTGTGTGGGTCACTGCTTTGGACAGATCTCCTCCATTTGATCTGCTGGATGATCTTTACATGATGCTGTGGGATAATATTCAATACACAACATGCATTCAGTTTATAATATAATGCAGTTTTTTTTCACACAGTAAACTATTAATCTCTGAACCAAAGCAGAGTTTTAAAGATCTAATGATGGAGAAAAATGCAGGATGATAGAGAAATAAAATCTACACTGAAAATGAGTGAAATCTCACTCAAATAATGTTTCTAATGTTGTAATGATATCAGGAGTCACTCTATGACACTTTAAACCAGCATTTTATTTCCACACAGACATGTTAGGATGGAATGGTACAAACACATTATTTAAAATATACATGCATATGTGCCAACTACGGGAGGCGTTGGGTCATTCGCCCCCCCCCCCAAAACTAAAGAAGTGAGGGGTGACCCCTCCGCAATCCTCATGCAAAGCTGACATAAGCCGCAGTACTGAAACACACAGAAACACACATCACCTTATGAATGTATATTGATCCTAGTGTTCTAGGAATATCTGGTAATTCAAGGACACACAGATACATAGAGTGAGAGTGAAGAAGAGCGCGGCTCGTTCAGTGGTGACCATCTAAACCTGGAGGAGGTCAAATCAGCCACTTTCCTCAATAAAGTAGAATCCTTAAAGAGCGGCTCCATCTGTTTCTCCTCCACAGAGTCTGACTGTGATTGGCTGAGAGTTTCAAGCTGGTGGAGCAGCTGAGAAATCTGTCTGCAGTGGAATGTTGAACTGAATAATGATATAAATGAACATTATGAGCAGATCACAGTCCATTTTCCCACCATGTGATCTGATCAGAATATTAAGAGAGGACAGCAGAATGAATTCACATCATCTACTTTATCACTAAAGAGTCTGAGAACAAAAAACACACAAATGATTCAGCATCACCCATACAACACTCATCAGATCAGGACATACATTCAAAAACCCCCCAATATTTAACCCAAGCATTGTAGTGACATGTCCTTATGATCATAATTCAGACACTCACTACCTGTATAAATGTTCATTCTAAGCAGCATCAACTTTAACTGTGCTGATGTCTTCATTGGTAAGATCCTCAGAGAACGAGTAGACCCATTCCGGAAATATGGAAAAACTCTCTCAGTGAAAGTGTGTGTTATAGTGTGCAGGTGTTTGTTGGTCAGAAGATCAGTGAAGGTCACTTTCCCTCTGTCCCAGTCCAGCTGCACTCTGACCCTCTGCAGCTTGTCTTTAGGTTTGAAGGAGTAAAACTCCTGTCCTGGGCAACGTATCCTGTATTCATCTCTGCTTTTACTGTAGAACAGACTGCGCACAGAATCCAAGTAAGAGTATCCTTTTCTTGTTACAGACTCTGGTATCACACCCAGTGACCAGTGATTACTGTCTCCAACCTGGACATCCCAGCAGTGTGTCCCTGAGTTAAAACCCTCAGAACCCAGAACACACCAACCAACATCAAATCTCTCTGGATTATCAGGAAGTGATGATCTCTGGTTTCTGTTTTCTACAGCAGTGAGATCATCAGACAGGTGGAGGTGTGGATGTGCAGTGTTGGGGTCCAGAGTAACAGGGGCTGAGGAGAGAGAACACAATGAAACATCATGTTTTTCTCTCATTTCTGTAAATGTTTTACCTCTACAGACTATTTTCTTTACTGTGAGTAAAACAGCTTTAGAGGTCGATTCCAGAACACAGATCAACTTTAATCCTGGACTAAATGTTGATGTTCAGTTCAGTGCAGCACTAAAGTGTATTTTCAGTAGTGAATGGTGTTTTATAGTCAGGGTTGGAAGGGTTACTAAAAATAAAAAAATATGGCCTTTATATTCCAACAAAGGGTTAAAACAGCAACATGATTCACACACCAGATCACTCAGCAGACACTGCCCTCACTATCCAGAGTAATTTCATCCACCAGTGATCATCCATCAACTAGCAACAGCTCTAAAATCACCCCAAACCCACTCGCTATTGTTATTTTACATCTCTGCTTTTAGCCTTCATATTATAAACAAGGGGTTAACATAACGACATGATTCACACACCAGAACACTCAGAGGAGCCTGCCATCACTAGCCAGAGTGAGAGAAACCAGCTCCAACATCCCACAACCCAGAAATACAACATAAACACAGCCATAACCACTGTAAAACCTGCTATTAGCTCTCTGCTTTAGCCTTCATATGGCAACAAAAGGTTAAAACAGCAACGCAATTAACACATCATGCCAACCATCAGGACTTACCCTGTGTGTCCAGAGTGATTTTGTGGAGATTTCAGCATGATCCAGTCAGTAATCTAGTTCAGAAAACCACCATTCAGATCCTGTGTTTACGTCCATTTGAATGTTCCAACTAAATCCTCACAGCAAAGTGTTCAGTGTAGAACTTTCTCTTATGTCTCAAGCAGTTTTCTGATTAACTCAGACTCTGAGTTTAGTGCTGATAGTCAGAAATTTACAGCTAAATACATGTAAAAAACGACTAAAAAGTGCTAGCCATGCAGTGTAAAAAAGGCTAAGTGCTAGCCATGCAGTGTAAAAAAGGCTAAGTGCTAGTCATGCAGTGTGTGCATGCTTCTGAGCTGAGAGAGTTGGGGATGGGCAGAAAAAAAGCAAAAATGGCCTTGTCCCAATCCACTACACTGTGCATTTTCTCTAAAAATCAAACACAGGCCCTAAAACACATTTTAACAGATAAATAACAATAAATGACAATATTATTATAAAATTAATAATATTTAGCTGTCTTTCAGTTTACATGGATTTTGAGTATTAAAAGTATCTGCAAATTTTTCTAATTTTTTTTGTAACTTAAACTTTAGCACAGACAATGCAAGACAGTTTAGAGTTGTGCAGCCTCAAAGCATATCCAAAACTGTCATCCTGCCATGTCTTGGGAAGCCCAACCTGGTCCCAAGAAGCATCAGAGCCATACCAGCAGCATCAGCAGCCATGTGTAGACTCGTCACCAGAAAGGATCCTTCCGGCTTCCTTCCTTAGACGAAGTGTTTTTTTTTTATAAGCTCAGTTGGTTGATGCCGCTCAATCTGATAAGATTTTATATTCCCATTTTTTCAGGCTCCCCTAAGCACTTAAAGTTTCCCCCTGGTTAATGGTATTCCCTTGGTTTATCCCTGTACCTGTCCTATATGGCTATTCTTTAATCAATTCTACTGTATATGAGACTATCAGGATCCACCTGCAGCTTCGTTACAAACATTTCAGAAGAGAAATATAATTAAACATTAATTTTGAGAAAAAAAAATGACTGTTTTTCATTAAACTTGAAAAACACTTTCTAGAACTCCATACAATGAACAAAACCAAAAAACGTTTGTGTTGTTTACTGTGCAGAAATTTAAATAGAAAAAACATATTAGAATTGAATTTCACATCAAATAAAACCATAAAGGCCAGAGACCACTCAACACTTTCCAAAACACAATACAAATGAGAAAATCATAAAACATGTTACTATTTATTGTAACTGTTGTTTATTTGTAGTGTTATGTCTTGGACGTATTCAGTAATGTCATTTGGACCAAACTGGTTTGGTATATTGCCCATTTTGATTTTTCTCTTTCTCTCTGTTTCTGCGTGACATTTTTCTTCCAGGCTGACTTTTTGGTCTCAAGGTTGAAAAGCAGCAGTTACACTGATTGTGTTTCTTATCTTCTTATCTCCACCTGGACTTGTCCAGTTGTCCATTAAAGAGTGTCCTCCATGGGAAAGTGAAGAAACAAAGTGATACATGGAACAAATTCAAATGGACTTAATGTGCTTCACACAGCAGTATGTATGCATAATACTGCATTTTATTCAAAGCAAACAGTAAATTCTCAACTTCTACAGAGTGATGATATGAAAGGAGACAACAATTAACCTGTTTTGAATACAGGACAGCTGAAGGTTCAGCAGAAGAATTTCAAATGAATCAGACAGAAGAGGAGCTGAGTATCAATTAAAGATCAGGAAAGGAGTTAAAGATCAAACAGTTAAGGAGTTAGAGGTGTTACAGTCATTTATCTGTTTCATATTATCAGAGAAAAGCTTGGGAAAGTCAACTTACAATTTTTTGTTTTGTTCTTATTCTTTTCTTATAATCATTCTATGTTCAAAATATTGTCTTTTTCATGCCCCACAACTTTTGAACTAGAACCACCAAACTTTACAGGAACGTAGAAGCAAAGTCAGAAATTTAGGTTTGTGCTTTTTGAACCAATCTGATGTATGGCACATACTGTATGACTACAATAATATGGCAGCTGAACACACTAAAGTGGATGTTCGTTCATTTCAACAAGACTGGACTGATTTGTATGGATTTATTCAAGTGTGCGCCGCCATCCTGAGATAAAGCATCAAAGCTCATTTAAGGATGATACTGACAAAATGGAATCAATCATGCGAGCAATTTCAAGGTACAAGACACAGACAAGTGTTCTTTAAAATTTAAGCTATGGTAAAAGTTATGCCACACTTGCAAGTAACAAGATAGCTCAGTGCATTGCTAAACATGGAAAGCCCTTCACTGACAGAAAATACATTAAAGAAGCATTTTGTGCAGCGGGGGATGTGTTTGACGGTTTGGCAAACAAGCATACTATCATTTCTTGGATTTAAAGACTTTCAGCAAGAACTGTTAAGCTCCGGATCACTGATATGGTGAATAACGTCAGGGAACAGCAAGTGACCGGACTTAAAGACTTCTCTGTGTTTAGCGTCGCGCTCGATGAAAGTGCGGACATCAACGATTTGCCTCGTTAGGCAGTTGTGGCTAGATTTTGCGATTCTGCTGGAGTACGAAGAGGAACTGTGGTGTTTAAAACCCAACTATGGCACCAGAAAAGGTGAGGATTTAGCTAAAACCTTTGTTGAACATTTTGAAAGCGTTTCAGTTAGTGTTCGAAAAATCTTTGCTATCACCACTGATGACGCCCTGCAATGGTGGGAAAGCAAAAAAGTATTCGCCAAAATAACTGTATAACAAAAGACATAATAACAAACATAATAACAAAATAATAAAATAACATAATAACAAAAGACAAACTTTGGCACACTGTTCTTAAATTCCACCGCATTATACACCAGGACAGTCTCTGTGCAAATATATCAAATTCTGATCTTAACACTGGGATGGAAACTTTTGTGAAAATTGTGAATTTTCTACGAGCTCACTCTGCCTTGACTAACAGGCAATTCCAAGAACTGCTGGAAGAAATGGAATGTGCCTACAAAGACATCCCACTTCACTCCAGTGACAGGTGGCTTAGTAGTGGAAAAGTGCTAAAAAGTTTTGTGAACTGCACTGATATAATCAAAGCCTTTCTTGTTGAGAAGGACCAGCATTACCTAGAGCTTGAGGATGTCAGGTGGCTTGTGAAACTCATGTTTTTGACAGACATTACATCGCACTTAAATGAGCTCAATGTCTGTATGCAGGGAGTTGGACAAACAGTCATGAGTCTATTTGAGATGTGGAAGGCGTTCACATCCAGACTTAGTTTATGTGCAAGTTATAGAAAGGGGGGCATTTCGCTGTTTCAAACACTTAAGAGAGATTTCCACTCATCATTTGGTCAACACAGCTAACATTTCCATGTACATGAATGAGCTTGAGTCAGAATTTTCCAGGAGATTCCAAGATTTTCAGAGATACGGACCAATGTTTTCTCATACATCCGGACAAGCTTAATGTGAAAGACATGGACTTGGACATGGTCAGTTTTTGAGTGGATGAGTATTGATGATTTTGAAATGTAACTGATTGACTTCCAGAGCTCATCTCTGTGGACAAGGAAGTTTTGTAAGCTGCGCACATCACTTGAAACATCCAAAGAAAATGCAAGTCCCCCTTTTATGTGTTGGACATCACTTCCAGAGAAATCTGACTATTTGAAGAACACTGCATTGGCAATGCTGTCAGTCTTTGGGTGGATTTATCTGTATGAGCAGATCGTCTCACACATGAATTCAATCCTCAGTCCTTCCTGAAGCAGGCTTACTGCAAACCACTCTAAGGCCAAACAGACACACACCTTAGCAACCATCTGGGGCACCATAGCAACAGCCTAGCACCACCTGGGATTCTATAGCAATGGCCTAGCAACATCCTAGCAACCACCTGGGATACCATAGCAACAGCCTAGCAACATCTCTGTAATCACCTGGGATAGCATAGCAACAACCTACCAACATTTTAGCCACCAACAACACTCTACAGCCACTTTAATTTTCAACATTTTAAGCTGGCTTTCTCAAGCCAATCTAAAGTTTGTTCACAAACTTTCTCATTTAGTTTAAAATATACATGTAGTGACATATTCTTATGATCATAATTCAGACACTCACTACCTGTATAAATGTTCATTCTAAGCAGCATCAACTTTAACTGTGCTGTTCCACTGTTACTGATGTCTTCACTGGTAAGATCCTCAGAGGATGATCAGATGCATTAAAGAAAAGTGGTAAAACTCTCTCAGTGAAAGTGTGTGTTATAGTGTGCAGGTGTGTGTTTGTTAGAAGATCAGTGAAGGTCACTTTCCCCCTGTCCCAGTCCAGCTGCACTCCGACCCTCTGCAGCTTGTCTTCAAGTGGGAGGGAGAGATCTGGATGTCCTGGGCAGTGTAGCAAATATTTACCAAAACTGTAACACAGACTCCACACTGAACCCCAGAAAGAGTTTCCTTTTCTCGTTACAGACTCTGTTATCACACCCAGTTCCCAATAATAACTGTCTCCAACCTGGACGTCCCAGCAGTGTGTCCCTGAGTTAAAACCCTCAGAACCCAGAACACACCAACCAACATCAAATCTCTCTGGATTATCAGGAAGTGATGATCTCTGGCTTCTGGTTTCTACAGCAGTGAGATCATCAGACAGGTGGAGGTCTGGATGTGCAGTGTTGGGGTCCAGAGTAACAGGGGCTGAGGAGAGAGAACACAATGAAACATCATGTTTTTCTCTCATTTCTGTAAATGTTTCACCTCTACAGACTATTTTCTTTACTGTGAGTAAAACAGCTTTAGAGGTCGATTCCAGAACACAGATCAACTTTAATCCTGGACTAAATGTTGATGTTCAGTTCAGTGCAGCACTAAAGTGTATTTTCAGTAGTGAATGGTCATTATAGTCCAGTGACTGATCTAATCTGAGCGCAGCATTTTTCAGTAGTGAACATTTTTACATTTTCACATACACTGACTTTCACATACACTGATATTGATTACTGAATGACTGAATTAACTTTGGATAACTTCTTTTGAATACAGAACTTTTCAAGATAAACACATTATATTTCTATATTTATGTAAAAAAGGAAAGCTGTTTTAAATCTGAAAAAAGAAAAATTGTTAAAATACCTCAAAAATGTCAATTTTCTGCCAATTTAGCCAGCCAATTATCACTCTAGATTTTAGAAGAAGCATGCTTATTGGCTCACAGACACTGATAAGATGCTCATAAGTACTTCATTATTTAGGTACTGAAATCTGGCTTTGTATGACGCAGAATGTTTTACTCTGCACTATTTAAGCAATCTCTAATTTCATATTTGGAAAAAAACTAATAATTGCTACACAGTGATTTCTCAAACCCATATTAGAGAAGCTCTGTTCTTAATGATGGTTAAGATTCTCATTAGTGCAGAAGCAGACTGTGTGTGAGAGATCAACCTAAGAGAAACAGAACTTACTGTACTGGAGAATCTCCTGCATGTTCTCCCACACTCCCACAATTCTGTTGTTTCTGTCAAAAAACATTTCTGCTACTGTTCTCATCACTACAATATTAACACACAACCCTTAATCACCTTCATTATAATATTCACTATAATGTATAACTTTCATTTCTTCAATATGTACAAACTCAATTGCAAAAAAAGTTGAGACAAGTATGAAAGATATGAATAAAAACTTAAAACAGTAAAATAATTATGATAAAACATTATGATATTGTGTATATAGTGTATTGTGGAGGCTGCCACTTGGTCTGTGTTGCAGAAGGGGGTTTTAGAGGCGTCGTATTCAAAGCTGTGGCATGTGCTCTGTCCCCCTCATATTTGTAGATGAGCTCTGCCTTCCCATAATTGTAAATATTTGCTCATTCCAAATATGATGCCTGCAAAAAAAGTTGGGACTGAAGTATGTTCACCATCTTTCCTTTTAGGAGCACTTAATAAACGTATGGGAACTGAAGACATCAACTGATCCAATTTCCGGTTCCGGCGGCGCTGCATGCTTCCGTGCGGACAGAGACGCTGAACAGTGCGGTAAGACTCGAGGTGGGGGCCTGTGTGTTTACATCAACACTGAATGGTGTAAAAACGTGGCACTAGTCTCTAGTCACTGCTCACCACTAGTGGAGTTTGCGATTGTCAGAGCCAGGCCTTTTTATTTGCCAAGAGAGCTGACTACAGTGTGCATAGTAGCAGTATATATAGTCCCCAGTGCTAATACAGCGCTATCAGCAATCTCCAAAACACACACCCAGATGGACTGGTTATCGTTGCTGGAGATTACAACCATGCTAATCTGTAGTCAGTACTCCCCAAATTTCACCAGTATGTGGACTTTGCGACCCAGGGAGCTAACATGCTGGATCATGTTTACACAAACATCCCCGGCACGTACAGGGCCGAGCCCTGCCCCCACTATGGCTACTCAGACCACGTCTCTGTAATGCTCACTCCAGCTTACAGGCCACTCTTCAGACGTACCAAACCAGACCAGAAGCATGTGAGAACCTGGCCGCCAGGGGCTATCTCTGCTCTTCAGGGCTGTTTTGAGCACACTGATTGGGAGATGTTCAGAGAAGCAGCAACTTCCAATGACTCCATCAACCTGGAGGAGTATACAGAATCAGTGACTGGCTACATCAGACATAAAGCAAGCCTCAGGATAGCAAGAGCCAAGCTTTCCCGGGCTATCAGAGAGGCTAAGCGCGCCTACTCAAAGAAAATCCACAAACATTTTCAAAACACTGCCGACACACGGCGCATGTGGCAGGGCATCCAGGCCATCACCAACTACAAGACACCTCCACCTGCTTGTGACACAGAACGGTACGACGGCAAAGAAGACCACACCTCCTCCAAATTAACAGGTACTGTGTCTGTCCACTGCTGATATGCGGAAAACTCTACACAGAGTCAACCCACGAAAAGCACCAGGATCCGACAGCATACCGGGCAGAGTGCTCAGAGAATGCGCTGAACAGCTGGCTGATGTTCTCACGGACATATTCAACATCTCTCTGAACACTGCAGTCGTTCCAACGTGCTTCAAGTCCACCACCATCATCCCTGTGCCGAAGAGGTCTCCAGTGTCCTGCATCAATGACTACCCTCCCATTGCACTCACTCCCATCATCATGAACTACTTCGAGAGGCTTGTCATGAGGCACATTAAAGACCAGCTCCCTCCTTCACTGGACCCACTGCAATTTGCATATCGCCCCAACCGCTCAACAGACAATGCCATCTCCACCACACTCCACCTGGCTCTCACCCACCTGGACCACAGAGACGCCTGTGTCAGAATGCTGTTCATAGACTTCAGTTCAGCATTCAACACCATGATCTCATAGCAACTGATTGGAAAACTGAGCCTGCTGGGCCTGAACACCTCCCTCTGTAACTGGGTCCTGGATTTCCTGACTGAGAGACCTCAGTTAGTCAGGATAGGTAACAACATCTCCAGCACCACCATACTGAGCACCTGTGCTTAGTCCACTGCTGTTCACTCTACTGACTCACGACTGTACTGCAAAGTACAGCTCAAATCACATCATCAAGTTTGCTGATGACACGACTGTGGTGGGTCTGATCAGCAAGAATTATGAGTCAGCATACAGAGAGGAGGTGCAACGGCTAACGGACTGGTGCAGAACCAACAACCTGTCTCTAAATGTGGACAAAACTAAGGAGATGGTTGTTGACTTCCGAAGAGTGCGAGGTGACCACCCCCCCACTGAACATCACTGGCTCTGCTGTGGAAATCATCAGGAGCACCAAGTTCCACGGTGTCTACATCACAGAGAACCACCTGGTCCCTCAACACCAACTCCATAGCCAAGAGAGCCCAGCAGCGCCTCTACTTCCTGCAGAGACTGAAGCAAGCTCATCTCCCCCCTGCCATCCTCACCATGTTCCACAGGGGGACTGTGGAGAGCATCGTGAACAGCTGCATCATCGCCTGGTTTTGGAATTGCACCGCCTCCAACCGCAAGACCCTACAGCGAATAGTGAGGACAGCTGAGAAGATCATCAGGGTCTCTCTCCCCTCCATCATGGACATCTACACCACACGCTGCAACCGCAAAGCCAGCAGCATTGTGGACGACCCCATCCATCCATCAAACAGACTTTTTTCACTGCTGCCGTCTGGCAGAAGGTACCGGAGGTACCATCACTGCCAGACTCTGCAACAGCTTTGTTCTTTAAGCAGGTTTTTTAACTTACAAGGACTGGTCTGAATACCCCCTCACACACATACTCTACACTCACACACACACCTCTTTTGATGCTATACTTGCACTAGCTGGAACATTGCTGCTAACACTGTGTTTACATTGTTTACTCAAGTACTTCCTCAGTAAGTGCTGTGTTTATGTACGTTATCTGACTGCATAAACTCACAGATCACAGCATGTTAAATATCTCTGCACCTTATTCCACTACCTCATGTCCAGAAATGAGTGCTGTGTCAGTGCTGCACTGTCCTGTCTGTTTACTGTGTCTAATAAAATGTTTAATTTATCGTATTTATTGTTTCTAGTTTAAATTTTTGTTTGCACACTTATGTCCGCACATTTGCACTTCGTACTCTTTTGGTCCTTGTTGCACCTTGTTCCTGGAGGAACATAATTTCACTCCACTGTGTACTTGTACATATATGGAATGACAATAAAAGCCTCTTGACTTGACCTTTGAAAGCGGAATTTTTTGTCTTTCTTTGGGTGGTATGAGTCTTGGGGCCTTTGATGCATTTTGAACTTCATAATGCATCACATTTTCAATAGGAGTCTATGAACTTCATAATGCTTCACATTTTCAATAGGAGTCTATGCCAAGGAGTCCACCAAGAGCAAACAACTGAAACATAAAGTCTACCTTCCCTTCATTCTTACAGTGGAAGTGTTTTTTGTTTTCTCAATCTTTTATTTCACCTTTCTAGTTCAGCCTTTGTTTGAACACGCTGCTTTCAGAATTTCTTTTGTTTGCCATTTTCCCACCTCTTCATTTCCCCTTCCTTGAGTTGTTTTATCCGTTGTCACCTGTGCTTCCTGGTGGCGCAGCGGTAACTCCATGGAGCCTGGCTCTGGGTCACCTTAACCGCAACATCCCAAACTCACACTCCACTGCCCCAATAAATGTATTTAACACTCTTTCTCACTGGTTTTCATTTCTGCACTTGGGTCTGCCTCCCCGTCGTCCCGTAACGCATTCAGTTGTGATTTTTGGCCATACCCTTTATGCAAAAAGATTGTTCAGAATTCCCTGAACCTTTTGATTATATTAAGCACCAGAGAAGGTGAAATACCTAAAATCCTTGCAATTGCTTTTAGTGGAACATTGTTCTTAAATTGTTTATTTGCTGATGCATTTTTTGACAAAGTGGTGAGCTTTGACTTTGTTTATAAAAGACCAGGCCTTTCCTGAATGCTTCCTTTTTTATACCCAAGCATGTTTACATCACCTCATTTAAAATGTTTTGTGAATATTTACAATGTTCCCACTCCTACATTGCTCATGTACCCACTGTTATCTTAACAATGAAATTGTTAAGATGATACATTAAATATGTTGCTTTTATACAGCTTTCGTTTAAATTTAGGCTGAAGTGGATTTGCAAATTGCTACTGTGTTTTTGATTTGCATTTCACATACTGTCCCAACTTTTTTGATTTGGGTTTGTATAATATATAGTGTGAATTTAAATGAGACACTGATTTTAACATTACACAAAATGTGTGGTCTGACATTGACTTACTGTTTCTCTGTGGACTTGAAGTTCTGAGAGGAGAAATAAAGAGAACATTTTAAATAATTAAGTGTTAATAAATAAATAAGAGTTTTTTAAGTGGTATTTTAAAAGAAATTGAGAGAGAAACAACTGTCTAAAAAGTCCCGACCAAACCGATAAATAAGGAGAGAGAAAAAGAAAGTGACTCTTACCAGTAAGAACAGAACGTCCTCAGCTTCCATCTCCTTCTCTATGTTTTTGATTGTGTCTGAAAGAGATGATATTTCTCCATTCATCTCCTCAATCTTCCTCCTCATCATCTGACTCTTTTGCTCCTCTTCCTCCTTCAGTGCAGCTATCCTTGCTGCTTCTTCATCTCTTAGAAACTGGTGAAGCTTCTCAAACTCCTCCTTTATCTGCCTCTCTGTGTGCTGGGCCTGCGTCTGGAATGAGAGACCATTAGGAAACATAAACTCTAACAGATGATCTACAAGCATTTACCACCTACAGGAGAAGTGGACACTCATCAAAAACATGACCTCAGCAACATGTTTCACAATTCAAGATGATGTTTCACCTTAATGTGAGCTGTTGTTTGGTCATAGTCTTGTTTAGCTTCCTCTAAGACTTTCAGATTCTTCTGTAGAGGCTCCAAAGCAGTCTTGAGTTTATTCTGCAATTAAACAGCATCCTTCACACTTTATAATATTTGACCAGTTTAACTATTTCAGTGTAATGATGGTCCTACAGGGGGAATTAGGAGAGAGGATGGCAATTTTATTCAAAAGAATTTCCATTTTTGTCTAGTGTAGAGTAACATTCCTAAAAGTTTACATTTTGTGTTGGCAGTCATAATGAATTTAACAGGGCATTTTTCTGATTGACAATTCACTTGTGCTCTTTGCTGTTTGGCCTGAAGCCACACTCACTGACAGGCTTCACCTTCAACATACATAATAGGTTAATCATAATACAGATAAAGTTTATACATTTTAGTTATGTTTTGGATATTAAAATACTAGAACAAGTTTCTTACCTTAAACTCAGTCACAGCTTCATCTGTTGGACAGAATTCATGATTTTTGTGTTTCTTTGAAGTCTGACACTCCACACACACAGGCTGCTGATCATCCAGACAGAAGAGTTTGAGTTTCTCATTGTGCAGACTGCAGAGCACCTCAGACCCTGCTGAAGATCTCTGACTGCTCCCTAGAAAAGACTCACAAACGTTCTTCAGTACAAGGTTACGGGGAGGATCATCTTTAGAGGATCTTCTTCTACAAACTGGACATTCTCGAGACCCCTTAGTTTCCCAGAACATCTGCAGGCAGGTTTTACACACACTGTGGCTGCACGACAGAACAACAGGATCCCTGAAGATTTCACAGCACACAGGACAGGAAAGCTCTTCTTCTGAAAGAGGGTTTCTAGCAGCCATTTCCTCCAACTGCTGCTGTGCTGTTTCTCTGTAACGGCTCCTTTAGTCCAAACTCCACTTTCTCTTTTAGGACGTCTGTAATGATCAGAGCAGCACAGTTGAGAATCAGCCACCGTAGCCCTTCAACCCACTGAGTGAGTTTTAGCTCCTTTCAGAATCACACATCAAGAAACAAACACATACAGTCACTGTTTAAAAGCTCCTCATTGGTGTCTCTGAGTGAAGTGAAAGCAGAATGAAGAAAGATCAGAGAGACCGTATGACATTCACTTCCTTCAACAGGCAGAGGTGTAGAGGAGGAGCTTTGAAAAAGGATAAGTCAGTCTATGCTCTATTCTAACTTACAGGAAATCAGCCATTAATTTCAGCAAATAGCATCCAGGTGTTACAAATTTAACATGTCAACTATGAGGAAATATTGATTTTATTTTATCTAATACTTTGTGCTTCATATTCATACAAACTTACCTAGAGGAATTTTTTATTGCTTAAATGTTGATCTTTGTCTCAGGATACTTATTTGTGATTCTCACTTATGTTTCATTTAGAGATCAACTTTGTCACAGATGTTTCTCCTAAAATTGTTTAGGAGAAATAGCATTAGACAAAAATGAGACATGAGATACTTCTAAGGTTAAAGGAGTCAAAACTGAGATTTCAGTTTCAGATGCGTAAGAGATCTGAGGAGATCTCTTTCTTGTCTTGATTTGATCTCTTTCAAAACTCCATTTTTTTCTTTTTGAATGAACAGGAATTAGTCAATAAAAGTAATGAAAAAGCTAGCAAAATCATTCAGAAGTTAAGGACTAAACCTTTGTAACCCTAATTAAACACATTCATTTTAATTAACACACTGTCCATTCAGTTTTACCTTTTATTCTTGAACGTTTTATTACAAATCAAGACAGTGGTTGGATTGCAGAATTAACGTTGGAAGTGTTGGTATAATTTCAGACACTGAAATACAGCTTCAATGTTCAACTTAATCTGATGCCGGATTAAAAACAGTAAAAAAAAAATAATAATAAAAAACAGTAGCAAATATTTTACTCCCTTCTCTTCATAGATGGGCCAAAGTAATTGATGATAGGTATTACAGAATTTGCTGTCGGACCACCTTGTAAGAACTTTTCCTCCAGGTTTCAGATCTTTTAACTAAACTTATCCTCTTTTAGTAAATCACAGGACTTGAAAATTTTCACTCTGCATCCATCCTCAAATGTCACAAATACGAAAGGCCTGAAAAACAGAATATGAGACAGCTTAATTGATTAATTGACAGTATACAAAAATAATCAGTGTCTGAAATTCCAACAACTAACAGGTAAACTTGAAGTTAATTAAAGCTGCACTATGTACACAATGTTTTTGTTAACACTGCAAGAAGTAGCATTACTAAGTCGGGAGGGAAATGTTTCTGATTTTCTTTTGAAAAACAGAGCTTTCAGGTTGGTTTTGGTGGGAGCTTCTCAGATCATGTCATATACCTTTTCATGTATCAGTATGTCAGGGAAGGGAAGCGTGACACAGTATACATATTAAACAGGGTAACAACAACACTTTCATGTCTGAGCGAACAGAAACTCCAGTCTGAATTTGGGACATTTAGCACAGCAGAATGTGGCTTCAAATTGAGGTTGGGAGCTTTTTTGCCAATCTAAACACATGGCAACCCAAAAAGTATAGGTCAATTTTAAGTCATTTTTAACATACTAATGTAAAAATAATTTATATGTTAATAAAAATAGCTATTGATGTATAGGGTTTTTTTTACGATTTTAAACAGTCATTTGACAACAATCATTCTTTGATTATATTATTTTATGGTAAACATTTGTAAAAGTTATTAGTTTTTCAGCTGTCCCAAAATGTTCCAACCATTAAACTGTTCTGTTTATGCTACTGTTAATACTACTAACTTTAGGGTGGAGTACGGATGTGCATTCAGCCAAAACTGGCCAAAATTAACATGAGGCTGGGGGCGTACTCTTTTAAAAGATGTCAGTGGTATAAAGACTATGTATAAAAACTGAGACACTTCACTGTTTCAGGACGTAAAGCCACACCAGACCCGGCCTCGCTTTCCCTGCCTTTTCAGTCACGTACTCTACAAGACGTCCATGGCAACGCGCTCATGTTTAGGACCAAGTAATATAGTTACATACTTACTTTCAAATATTAGCAAAACTGACACATTTACAGTCCTGCAAAACCACAGAAGCGGACTTTATCTGAATTGTCTACATATTTTATCCGTCTTCCCGTGATGAAACGTAACGATAACCTGAGAAGCCAGCTAGGTTAGTGATTTCAGTATTCGAATAACGTTATTGGCACCTTAAATAGTTGGCCGAGTGCTCCAGCACCCGTGCACATCCCTAGTCTACATTAGCTAACCTTTTATGAGCAAATGTAGCAGCCAAATGGTGGATAATTTTGTATTAAAAGAAAAAAAACTATACATAGCTATTGGACATTTGTGTGCTAAAAACTGTTAAAAAGGGCTCGGTCATATCGCTGACGTTAGCTTAGTAACATCGCTAGCCAGCTAGCCAACGAATCGTTATGTAGCTATGCCACTAGACTTACATTAGCTAACGCTAGCTAGCTGGCAAAAACATGACTGTTAGTGTAGTCCCTGTCTGTTGGACCAAAAGCTCAGATTTTTTAAACAAGTGCTGCTAAATAATAATACACATACAATATCTCATGTTTCTTGGCTACTTACCTTGTACTTCAACTTTTCGGCCGATTCTTCGCCAGTGTTGTTCGTTGACTGCTCTGCCAGGAGGACGTGAACTTGAACAGGCCGATCCCAGCATTTTTCGATCGACCATTCGAATTCCCTGATGCTGTTAATGGCCAATCGGAATCACGAAAGGCTTTCGTCTATTCTTTGATTGGAAGATGACGGTGAAAGGCGCGTTGACAGATCTGTCTTATGCCTCGGAGCTCCGACCAGGGCACATGGTCTTCTAAAGAAACAGCTTATGAAACGAAAGTTTCGCTTTATTGTAGCTGCTTTGTAATATTTACAAGATTGGCATTTTAGAATAATACCCCAGCTTCTTTTTTTAGCTAGGTAACTGATGCGCAAATACCTGTCTGTAGTAAACATGTAACAGATTGCAAGTGTGCTGGCACAGAGAGTCGTTTTCAGCTGAAACAGCCGCTAGCTACTTATTCCACATACCAACTTATGTTAACTAACCTGTTTCACTCACGCAGTGTTCAACATGTTCCCTAGAGCAGTGGTTCAAGTATGCCTTTGGATATCACTGCTGCATATTTTAGTGTTTTCTCCAACACACAGATCCCAGGAAGTAATGATCAGAGCAGCACAGTTGAGAAACAGCCACCGTAGCCCTTCAACCCACAGAGTGAGTTTTAGCTCCTTTCAGAGTCACACATCAAGAAACAAACACATACAGTCACTGTTTAAAAGCTCCTCATTGGTGTCTCTGAGTGAAGTGAGTTCAGAATGAAGAAAGATCAGAGAGACAGCATGAGATGCACTTCCGCCAACAGGTAGAGGAGGAGGAGCTTTGAAAAAGGGGAGTCAATCAGATGCTCTATTCTAACTGTGTTGAACACTAGATGGCAGCAGTTCAGTAATAACCTGAAACAGGGAGCTCTCAGATGAGTCGAGGTTTCTAAATTATTAGTTCATTTCAGCAAACAGAATCCAGATCTTACAAATTAAACAATAAACTATAAGGAAAGATTGATTATATATTGTAAATACCTTTTGCCTCATATTTCCTATTTATTTTATGCACAAATTTACATGAATAGTGATACATATTCACTGCATTTTATTGTCATTTCTTTGTTGTTATAGCTATTTTTGTTGTTTATGTTCTTCTGCTACTTCCCATTATTATTGTTTCTGCTGATTGGTGGAGTCTGGACATGACAGCTGTAAATAGCTGGTGGTTTGGATCCTTGAAAATGACTCCCTCCATTTCACTTCCATCTCACTGCCCACAAATAGATTATTTAGAATTGTTTTAAATGGTAGAGAGTGTTTAAGATGCACACTCTACCATTTAAGAGTCAGCTTGTGTGCTAAGATGCTTTTAGGAAACTCAGCTCTGACTAATTCAGGAGGTTGTTTTGTTAATTGTTGCTCCATCCTGAAACTTAACAAGCCTAGCCACAGTTGTTTTTGTGTGTTCCCACTAACTTTCCACTATGACTATAGCTGTCCATGAAAGGTATGACAGCTCATCTGATAGATGTAGGGAGTTCTGATACAGTGCAGCCTAAGGTAAATTTAAAGACTGTGCTACAGCATTGTGGTCACAGAACAATGAAGCTTTAAAATCTAAAACACATTTATATTTTTCAAAGCATGTCTTTTATATGAAATAATACAAGGCAATCACACTGTTGCAGCCCACAATTTGGAGGTCTGCACCATCTCAGCTGGGCGTGGTTGGAGTGGTGCAGCCCTGCTCACCTTTTACAAGAGGGGGTTAAATAAAAAGGAGAGTCCATGAACCTGAACCAGTTTACTCTAACCTGTTTCGCCCTGGATAGTTCACTGGGAGAAAAGTAGCAATTAAGGCCAAAGTCTTTTCCAGCTCCTCCAATTTACACAGTCATCCCTAAACCAGAACACATGGAACTGGGAGGGCACAGCTAACAGGGAATGAGGGACTACATCATATCAGAGACTGCCTAAGCCTCTCCTGGAGGTTGCATTGGAGGTGAGTTCTTTAGTCCACCCTTGTAAAAAAGGACAAATGTATGATTATTACAGTGACTTTGTGACAGAGTTCAGGAGTTTTCCCTTCTCCAGCACTGACAGACTCTGGAGCTGCAGGCAACTTCATTGACAGCGGACTGGTGGAGAAGAGGCAGATCCCACTGTTTTCAGTTCAGCCCTTTCTACTGTTGAGAGCAGCTGACGACTGCCCATTGACAGAGGGATCAGTGACTGAAATGACTTCTGAACTGAATAACCAAGTTGCACAAGAAAAATATCTCCTTATTTTTAAAAAGTCCACTTAAAATGCTCTCATTCTGCATTTCCATGGATAATTCAACACAATCAAAGTATTTCATGGAGTGAAGGTGAAATCAGCAAATTTGAACCTGTCAGTTTTACAGTTAAAAGCATTGAGCAATCCACTGAAAAAGCATTAAAATTAGGATACAATGCCAAATTATAGATCAATAAAGACCTATGATATGGGGAATAAATAATTACTTGTTAGACATTGTTTCAAATTGTTTTTTGAAAATGGTGCCATTTTCTTTGAGGGAGCCTGACATCCAACCTTAGTACTAATAGATAAATGAAATTTGGAATATATTAAAGCAGCAAACTGTTTAAACCCCAGACAGATATACTGGGTTTTGTTTTCCACTCACTTTAACTTCAGGGTTTCTTACTGTCCAGGTTAAAAGAAAAATACTGACGCAAGGCTGACACGTTGTCACATATTCTATCATATTATTCACACTAATTAAACGATTCTACAACTATAGTGACACTGATCAGGTGGGGATCCAGAGGAAATGAGACAATGAACCTTCTCCTTCTCTGGGTAAAAGCTACTACTAGTTCTGGACATCCAGCAATGTAAAGTACAGGTATTTTAGTTAATAGGTTTTTGTGAGTTTATGTTAGATAAGGATGTGTTTGATGTCATAATAGGTTGTAATGTGTGCACTCAAGCACAATCCCCACTGCAGCTTCCAGCTGGTCTTCCACAGCCCTTACCTATTCCACAGCATCCCTGGTCACATTTGAACATAGACTCGTTTGCTGACCACCACAGATTCCGGCACAGATATATCGCAGTCTCTGTGATCAGCAATGTAAAGTCTAGTTTTGTGCCCTACATTAATGAAGGAGTAAATAATGACACATTTCATAATTTTTCATTTCAGACACATCTTACCAACTGAAAATCATCTAACACTCCTGGTAAAAATGAACTACCTGTATTTGGCAGACGATTATTTAAAGAGCTCAATTCCATAGAAAATATAAGTAAGAATGAGACTGAAGGCCAGAGAAAGACACACTCATCACTCGGACTAAATATAGTGTCCCAGATGTCTTCGAAGCACTTCTTCTATTCTGATGTGGATTCCTGGAGTCTTCCCAGCACTTTCTTGTCCAATGATTGTATTCAAGTGGCACCAACTTCAAAGCTTTAAGGCTAGTCATTGCGCATATATGTTCTGTTATAGCCTCGACTCCATTATAACTGATCATCAGCATTTTAACAAATGTATCAAGTTAGAAGTCAAAATCAAAGCCTACTATTCTATACTATACATACTCATTTCGACAGTTAGTGTATGAATTACATGAAATGATAACCTGAAACATATGGGAGTTTATGCAGTGTGACATCATAGACTCTTCGGTCAGAGACGTGCACTCTCGTATGTAAACACCAAAACCTGTACACTCTCAGAAAAAAACGTACCGAGAGTGACTGTTGTGGTACCATCACGTCACTGGGGTACATCAAGTGTACATCTTCAGTAGCTTTAATTAAGAAACATAATTGTATTATACTTTTTTTTTTTAGTTGCATTGAAATGCAGATGCATGTGTGTAGTGATTTTAAATAGTAAATACGAGTGAAAGATAGGAAGTTAAATGAATAAATAAATAAAAAAATATTGTGCGCAGTTATTTGTGTTGTACATAGCTGTTCTATTCTACTGTAAAAAAATGTTTGTAGAAATTCAAATAGCAACAGTAAAAGACTATAAAGTTCAAAATGCTATTTCAGTGTAAAAGATACATTGAATTACCTTAAATCAGGAAACAATAAATAACTTTAATTTTTACTGCTATATTGTGTAGAAAATACACAATTTAACTGTAAAAATATAAAATTTTGGTGAAATTAATGGGAAAAATACTGTAATTTCATGAAGAAGTAATTACCTTAAAATTGACGATGTAATTCTGCATTGTACAAAATCCAACTTGCTAAATGTTGGGCAAATTTTAAAAATATAGTTGGCCCAAATTTCTCATGATGATTTAAGTTAACTGATTTAACGACTTGTACTGAGTTCATGATTGTCTCATAGCACACACACTGCATCAACTAACAATTTCAAGTAAGACAAGATGTAACATCTTTATATAAGTTCTACTATGTGGGCGGCTCTGTGGTTCAGCAAACTGACCCAGTAGAATCTAACTGATAAACATGGAGCTACATAACAGTGTATATCAAACCCAGTGTACAAAACTACACATATAAGTATTTTTGCTGCAGAAGTTAACAATAACAGCCATTAGCTACTCTATTTGGTTTATATTGTACATTCTCTGGAGCTTTAACGCTAACGCTAGCTAACAAGCTAAGAGGCTAATAACCCAGCTAGCATGAAGAGTTGGATAAGAGTTTTGGCACACCAGAATCAGGACAGGTACAGGTCAGGCTGAGCAACTGATGTTTTGGCAAAAATAACTTTATATTGCAGATTCCACCTGTACTGAGGAGGATTCAACCTGTACTGAGGAGGATTCTACCTGTACTGTGGCAGATTCCACTCATACTGAGGCAGATTCCATCAGTACTGAGGAGGATTCTACCTGTACTGTGGCAGATTCCACTCATACTGAGGCAGATTCCATCAGTACTGAGGAGGATTCTACCTGTACTGTGGCAGATTCCACTCATACTGAGGAAGATTCCACCCATACTGAGGAAGATTCCACCCATACTGAGGCAAATTCCATCCGTACTGAGGAGGATTCTACCTGTACTGTGGAAGATTCCACTCATACTGAGAAAGATTCCAACCATACTGAGGAAGATTCCACCCATACTGAGGCAAATTCCATCCGTACTGAGGTCCAAGCTCTTCATCACATAGGTGTGAAGTGTGTGCTTAGAGCAATTTCTGGAAACATTGGAAGGCTTCAAAACACGTTTGGTAAGTAAACTTAATTTATTTGATGTACCAACCATTTTTCAGTCAGACATTTACTCAAACCTAATACTATGATTGGTCATAGTCTTGTTTAGTTTCCTTTCAGATTCTTCTGTAGAGGCTCCAAAGCAGCCTTGAGTTTATTCTGTGATTAATCAGCAGTTTCTCCACACTTTACAATATAGAACTATATGAATGTGCTGAAGTATTGAAGAATCAGATCTGCCAGAATGAAAAATAAATAAAATTAAAAAATAAATGGCTCAGTTAAACCAATAAATACAAATAACTAAATAAATTATATATTGCTTATTTTTATTGGAATTATACACATTTCCTTTTTCTGCAATTCATTTCCTTTTATTTATTTCTGTATTTTTTTATTAAAGCCTCTGTTCATTTTATTTTTAACAATAATTTGCTTTATTTATTGATTCATTAATTCATTTTTTTCTTTCATTCATTTATTTATTTCTGTATTTCTTCGTTCTTATGATAATG